TAAATCTAGCACAGGCTTTCCAGAGGCAGCAAAAGTACTATGACCTGCGCCGCCGACCCTGGAAACCAAAAGTAGGCGACACTGTGTACAAAAGAGAGCACGTACTCTCAAATAAAGCCGCGGCATTTAACGCAAAACTGGCGCCAAGATTCAGAGGGCCACTCGAGATACGACGCGTAATATCGCCTGTGATATACGATCTGCGCGATCGTAACGGCCGCTGGTACCGACATATCCATATTCAAGACTTGAAACCTGCCCCTGCCCCCGCCGCCGACGACCACGAAACCGAAAACGAAGGAGACAACAACCCCGATGAAACCGAGGATGACGGAACATCCGACGAAACCGACGAGGACGAATAAACACTCGACGACGAGGACGAATAAACACAAACAAAAATCCGCAAAACATACCCCCAGTCAAAGCATCACCGAATACAGGACCGAAAATCGTCACTTCGTCCCGAGCATGGAGCGGGACGAGATCTTGAGAGCGCTCGACGAACTCATCGAGGAGTACGACCCGGAGAAACAGGAAATAGCCGCCGAATGGAGAGCGACCGCACCACCGCCGCCGACCAGACCTCGCAAAGATCCGCCGATCGTGGGATGCGTGGTGCAGGCCTCCGATAGACAACGGAGGGAGAAAATGGCCTGGTTAACGGCCACACCACCGCCACTACCACCAACCAGGAGGCCGAAAACTGCTCCGCCACGTCCAGAGCTGGAGCCACTCCGGCCAGTGGGACCACTGCCACCGCCACCCATACCGGTCGAGGTGGAACCGGGACACACAATCGATGTGCCACACTTCTCGGCGCACGTATCCCGCCAGTACAAAACACGATCCGGAGGCACTAAGTGGCACATCCGGTTTAACGCAAACGGGACGGTGAGGTCCATCAAGAAGAAATAATCTGTGCCTCAAGTTCAGGCACATCTAGAAGGAGAGGGTGATGTAACGATGCGCCTCAGCAAAGCATCGTTCCCGACGACCACCAGTCGGATG